GCTTCGGGCATTGTATCACACTGTTGTCACATGCAGGTGTGGTTCGTGGCCAGACATCACGGTTGGATCACTGACAATTAAAGTACGTCAAAGGTTTTTTCCCCAAAATAGTTTATTTGCCACGTGTTTAGACTAGTGTTCAACGGTCAGTAGCGAATGAGTCAACTGATCAGGCAAACAAATTTTAACGTTAATAACTTCCTAAAAACGTAAAACGTCGATTGTTTTAAAAGTACCACCATCCTTTTTCACTTTGTTATTACCAATCAAAGATGCTAGAGGTAAATAGAAATTTGAAGGATGCCTTGAAAAGTCATGAAAGATCTTAAATGGGTTTGTCACAAAGCGAAGCTGGATAGTTGTGAACTCGCCCATTGTTGGCGTGATAGCGAATTTCACTCCTTTCTTCGACCCTTCCTGAGACTCCTTTTTTGTAATTTCGCTGCCCGGTTCACCAGGCTTTCACTGAGAATTCACAAGTGGATTGATTACTTTTTATTACGGTAACTAGCAGTGTGTTTCCCAACCTGATTCTCAGACGTCCGAGGTCGTTCGCGGCCACTTCGAGAGGGGAAGCGAAGTGGCCGCTGACGACCTCGGACGTCTGAGAATCAGGCTACGCGTTTCCTAAACGAAAAATTTATGCNTTCAACGGTCAGTAGCGAATGAGTCAACTGATCAGGCAAACAAATTTTAACGTTAATAACTTCCTAAAAATGTAAAACGTCGATTGTTTTAAAAGTACCACCATCCTTTTTCACTTTGGTATTACCAATCAAAGATGCTAGAGATAAATAGAAATTTGAAGAATGCCTTGAAAAGTCATGAAAGATCTTAAATGGGTTTGTCACAAAGCGAAGTCGGATAGTTGTGAACTCGCCCATTGTTGGCATGATAACGAATTTCACTCCTTTCTTCGACCCTTCCTGAGACTCCTTTTTTGTAATTTCGCTGCCCGGTTCACAAGGCTTTCACTGAGAATTCACAAGTGGATTGACTACATTTTTATTACGGTAACTAGCAGTGCGTTTCCTAGCCTGATTCTCAGACGTCCGAGGTCGTTCGCGGCCACTTCGAGAGGGGAAGCGAAGTGGCCGCTGACGACC